GTTGCGTCGTCACCATATAAACTTTTTTTGAGGTTAGATTTTGATTTGCGTACAATCAATGGATTTTTTAGCCAAAGTCATGTTATCAGTTTGCGTATTTTTGATAAATTTTTTATAAGTAAGGGGTTTGATTTGCGTATTTTTGATACTAATTTGATATACACGTATTTATATATATACGCACGTGATAAGTAGATTTAAATATACTAATTGATCTGCATAGTTATGCAAGATATATCATAGATACATCTCTTTTTTTTTTACTTATTTCGAAAGATGTCAAGTTGGAAATACAGTTACGAAAGGCTTTTAAAGCATAAATATGTTGCTTGTATTATACATCCTAAAAAAGTAGTGTGTATTTGTGGCAAAGAAATCAAACTTAATCGAAAGTGGGAAGAGGACTATCTTGACCGTCATGTTCGTCGTTCTGGTTGCAAAGCGGATGAAGGTCAAAGAACATTATATAATTGGTTTCAACCAGCGAAGTTAAAACAAAATGAACAAATTGAGGAGGAAGAGGAATATGATTCTGATATATATGACAATATGGATGACGATGATATAGTGCGAATTGATGAAGAAAATGAAGATGATCAAAATCAAGATGATCAAGATGATCAAAATGAATATTTAGCTATTAATATTAATGAAACATTAGATAATAAAAATAGTAGCAAAAATGCTAAAAAAAGAAAATTAATTTGTATTGGCCTTCGGTCTACAGAAATATCAAGTTACATTAAACGGACTCCTGCACAGTTTGGTGGTAGTCGTCGTATTGAGATTGTTGCACGTGAGCTTTTTCCTAACCTGTTTCCATATAAGTTCAATAGAAAAAAATTGAATTCTAAACAAAAAAGGTTATTAAACCGTGCACTTTTTGCAGAATCTATATGGAAAATCGACCGATCATGTAAGTAGTTCACTAAATATGTGATCTCCAATATTAATTTCTGCTTTATTAATAACTATTTATTTCTTTAAATAAGGTAATGCAATACGTGCAAAAAGTTGTACTGGAGTTGCTGAAGAGGGAAATATATGCCATGAGTGTTCTTTTATTCGGTATAATAAAATTTTACGCAATAGAATAGTGCAACCTTTACCATTACCTGATAATATCAAATTTACGCCCAAATATTATTGGGAAGACAATCCTTTAAAACGATATCTTCAGAATTGTGACCTTCGTGACATTTGGAATACACTTAATAATGAATCGGAAAATCAACAAGAGAATCCGTGGATTATCCTTGCCAATAAAGCTATAAAAGGTGCTTTTAAGGATATGCCAGTATTTACTGGTCTTTGTGAGGTTATGGGTAATGCAATTGAACGAAAAATCAATAACAAATCTAAAAGAAATTTAAAATATAGCGAAGAATTTACCAATTTTTTAACTATTTTGGGAGGAATAAGTTCAAGGGCCTTAGAATTGTTCAGACAAAATTTAGAAGGTCGTTCACTTCAATCAATTCGGTTAGTTAATTTAATATTTTTAAATATAAATTGTTTAAATTTTGATTTCTAATTGTTTTAACTAAATTTATTAGACAATTAAGAAGAAATAATGAAGATTATTTAACGAATCCAGAACTATGTTATGAAAATGTAGCAAGATTTAAAAGATTAGTTGATTCAATAAATTATAATGGTCCAGTTTCAGCAATGACCGATAATACAAAACTCAAGTCACGATTACGGTATTCTCCTAATCTTGGTTGTATTATTGGATCAGTATTTTCAAAAAAAGAAGCAGAAATTAATACATATAATGATATTCCAAGAATTATTAATAAAATTAAACTAGAAAATGGAATGGCTAAGAATGTTCGCGCATATATTTTACAAGTAAGAATTTAATTTAAATTATTTATTAATTATTAATTTTCTAATTTATATATTTTATTGTAAAACAGATACCATTACCGGCATTTCCTCCTGTAGTTATTGCTTTAATTCCGAATAAAGGAACTGAGACTGCAAATGCAATATCGCAATTACATAAACAATTAGTTTTAGGAATTGCACCACAACTTGGTCTTTGTATACTCTCTTTAGGATCTGATGGTGCAATAACAGAATTTCAAGCACAACAGTTAATTTTAAACATTCAAACAAATGAAAAGTTAATAATTAAAGAACCTCAATTTAATATTAACTTTTCTTGTCCAATTTTTAATAATGTTGGTCCTGTAGTAAGGATTCAGGATCCAAAACACGCAAAAAAGACAGCAAGAAATGCCATAATGTCAGGAGCACGATTATTAACATTTGGCAACTCTTCAGCCCGATTTGATCATTTTTTACAACTTATTAATCAATATGATTCTATTATGTATAAGAATGATGTTATTAATCTGGACCGTCAAGATGATGCAGCTGCTTATCGAACCTTTTGTTCTTCAAATTTTCGACAATGTTTAACAGCTGATTATAAAGTTAAAATTGGAATGGAAGGATTTGCTATTTATATTTTTGTAATTGGTAATATTAATTGTATACTATATAAATATTTTAAAAATTAATTTTAATTTTAACATTTATTTTTTATTTATAAAAGGAGAAATCATTGATAGTTATCTAAACCGTAATATTGCACCACTTGAACGAATTAGAATGGTTATGACTGGTTATTTTTTCATTCAATTATGGCGTATCCATATAGAAACTCTTTCTCAAAAATATCCTGAATTTATTTCAATACGACAAAACTTTTTAGCAAACCAAACATTTGCTATTTTCATTTCTCTTTGTGAATCACTTATTTTGTTAATTAAGGCTCATCGTGAATATTATCCACAAGTACCATTTTTACCTTGGTTTCATGGATCTGAGCCTGTGGAACACTTTTTTGGTATTGCGCGCCAATTAAATCCAGATTTTGATTTTGCAGATTTAATCCAAATACTTCCTAAAATATCACAGTATTCCAGAGCTTTAAGATCAAAAAAATTATCTTTTAATCAAGAAAAAACTGTTCGTCAAGGTAATATTATTTAATTACAAATTTTTTTTTTATTTATTTATTTTTTTTTTTTTAACAATAAATTTTTATTAATTTTATTACAGGTTATCATTTTGACTATAATACTGGTAATTTAGAAGAATCAACATTAGAAATATTGAGACTTTGGCCAACAGATGAACAAATTTCACAAACAATAAAGCATTCACGCTACTTAGCTTGTGAACTTGCCGAATTTCTTGGAATGATTCAACCTGCAGATATCGCTCTTGAACCAAATTTACAAGTTTTAATCAATATTCATGAAAAAGAAGTTTCCATGTCATGCAGAAAACTTCATGATGAAAACGATAAAGAACAAGTTGAAAACGCTGAAATTGACCTAACCACAGCATTAACAGAAGCATCTCATGAAATGAAGCGTATTTCAACAGAAGAATGTGATAATAATGATGATGATTTATCAAATTTATTCCAAAAAGAGTCTTCACAACTAAATATAATTGATCAAATTCAAAAAGATCTCTCTGTTTTATATAATGGAGACAGCAGTAAGTGATAATTTTATTATACTTTAAAATTTATTATTTATTCTTTATTAATCAAACAATTTCTCAAATATAGTTAACTCCGGATTTCAATATGAAATAGAAGATAACTTAAATTTTGAAATTCTATTACAACAACGGCAAAGACATGAAGCATATACTTCAAAGCCACTTGAACGAAAATTTAAAACAGTTTCTACAAAAACCAGTGCCATTGCCACTATACAGCCGAATAAAGCTAGTCATTTTGTTGCTTACTTTACTAAAAATGAAAATCCAGAGCAACGATTTGTTACTCAACGTGAAAAACGATGGAAGGAAACCCGTAAAAAAATGTCTATTACCTTAGCTCAATTTCATGCTGAAGAATTGGCAAAATTAAAAAAAAAGCAAACTTTACCTAAAAAGAAGATACAGCAATCTCTTATTCAAAGTGAGTATAATTTCTTGTTATGTATCTTTTAATTGCAGTCAAGTACTAATATAAATTTATTATTTCCAAAAGTTCCAAATATTGAAACTGCGAATATCTCAAAGGATTTTCCGTTAATTAAAGGAGATTATGTTTTCGTTATATATGGTAATCAAATGTGTGTAGGGAGAGTTATTGCAGTTTATTTCGAAGCTTATGGCAATCATTGCTATTCTGAAGAAGCAATAACAAATTTAGATGATATATCTTATATTTCTTTACATGTTTATATTCCAATCCATCATGTATTTAGTGATTTAACTAGCGAAGGGTGCAATATTTTAGCTCATCATCTTGCTTCTAATATCATTTATCATATTGGACCAACTAGTGTGTTAGTTGAAGAAAATGTATTGAAGCTACTGGGAAACGAAAAACAGTATTATTATAGTTATTTTGGTCGAAAAGATGTAATTGAAACAATACGATAGTGTTTTACATTTAAAATTTATAATAAACAACGGCAAATCACATGATGATTAAGTCATAAGCTTGGTTTGCTTATTTTTTCTAACTATTTGAGGTTAAGTGTCAAATTTGCGTACTGACCTTATTAAAAACCCTTGCGTACAGCTATTAGTAAAAAATTTTTGTGTCCTCTGACCTCTATATATATATTTCGGGGTCCTAATTGATGCCATTAAGTTAACGTACAATGAAAGTGGCACAAAAGTGAATAATTTTCAATTTTATTCTATGATATCAAAGAAGCAATATTGCGATATTGCGTCTATAGCAATAGCTATAGCTATAGCAATAGCAATAGCTATAGCTATAGCAATAGCAATAGCAATAGCTATAGCAATAGCAATAGCAATAGCAATAGCTAATAGCTATATAGCTATAGTATAAGATTCAACTACGAAGTTCACATGGTGCATTCCCAAAAAGATGAAAATCTGCATGAAGATCGGAGGACAAACTACAAATTAAGCGAAAAAGTGAATAAATAAGGAAGGTCATGCAGGATGATCACCACTTCAGAAATATACTATCGCCAATCTACCGTGCTACCTCCAAAATATATATGATTTTGAAGACTTTGCAGATTGAAGTATTTGATATGCGCGTTTTGTCAATAGACTGTTCTCTACCAAAATGTTGCTTTTTAACATTTTTATCTATTCCCAAACTTCTATCAATTTCATTAAGTTTATTACACCTCACTTTCCAAAAAATCATAGATTTATCCAAAATTTCATTCCTAAAATTGTATGACAAAATTCAACTTTCGATTTCGTAGATAATAATTGTTTGAAGAAGCTAATTAACGAAACCTTTAATTAAATCTATGAAAGTTATGTCACTTATGTGATCCTCAGATACTACAAGCTTCCAAATATCATTAATATTCTTAACATGTTCCAAAGTGATATGATTATTAGGATCTAAAAGCTTATTCATTTCTTGAAAAAGTCGTGATTATATTCCAGAAATTAAATCTTTCATATCACTTCGTCTTTCTTCACAAATCCAAATATGATTGAAATCCTCTTCATCCTCTTCACACATAGGACAAAACCTTTCTTTATATAGTGAAAATAAAGTCCTTTTAATTTGTTCAATGCAAGGAAGTTCTTCAATCAGATATTGTATAAATAAAATTTTCTGATTTATTTTTTTATTTTTTTTTAGATCGTTATAGATTTTTCAGAATTTTTTTTTAAAAATTTTTTTTTTCTAATAATAGGTATAATACGTTGTATATTCTGATTTTAAATTTTTTTCTAATAATAATAAATAGTTATTGGATGAGGGAGTAGCTAAATTGGTCACAGGACTGAATGATTGGATGACGTAGTGGCCATTTTCACCAATCAATGAAGGTCCCTGTGACCAATATAGCCCACATCCAAGAAGTGTGTTATCGTTCTGACGTTTTTGATCATGCATTAATTAATAACATCATAAATAAAATTTTATAAATTTCATTTTTATGCTATTTTTAATCCGCTTTATAAACTTTATTTAGCTTTATTTAAACTTTTCCTACAAAATATTCATTTGCACCATATTTTTTACTCCACTATTATATATCAATCATGTGTTATTGATATGCCTAATAAAATACGGTCTATGAAAATCTGCATGATCCTATTGGGCTGAACGATAACAGTATATATGGAGTAATACCTTATATTGCACCAGAAATATTTAAAGGCGTCAAATTTTCTAAATCATCTGATATTTATTGTATGATTATGTGGGAATTAACAACTGGTTGTAAACCTTTTGCTAATGTTGAACATGATGTTGATTTAATTTATAAAATTATTGATGGAAAACGGCCTAATATTACTGATGGCACTCCCGAAGATTTTGCTAATTTAATGAAAATCCTGATCCTAAAAAGAGACCTTCAGCAACTGATGTTTGTGAAATTTTTAATTCTTGGTCAAATATGGGAATGGATGCCAAATATTTTAATCAAGCTGAAGAAGTAAGATTAGAATTAATGAAATCAAAAATGCTTCAACAATAAAGGTATTAAGTTATTATTTTTAATCAGTATGTAAAGGAATTTATTAATTACTTGATTCTTTTTCTTTAGAATATATTACAAAAGAATATGTGTTCGATATAAACTAATTGTTTTGGCCAATTCAGTATCAAAATAAGTTTTCAGAAGTAATCCAATAATTTCAAGGAAACAAGATGCAACTTGAAGATTTTACTAAACTAGAAATATGCGTTCATTATTGGGATTTCATCCCCACCATGATGATACTAATGTACATTATTTTATTTTTATTAGAAAAAAAGTTAAAAAAAGATTTTATATCTATAACGATCTATTGGCATTATTAAAAAAAAATCGGAAAATTTTATTTATACAATATCTGTCTTATGTATACCGATCTATTGTCATGATTAGAAAAAAAAAATTTTAAAAAAAAAAATTCTGAAAGATTTTGTTTTCGAAATTTGGGACGATTAGTTCTTTGGCCAGTTCGCCCTTTGTCCGAATCGTCCAAAATACGACTCATCTTCCGGCCAAATCATCCATTGTACGGATCGCCCATCACAGCCACAATTGGTTCCCACTAAGCCATACGCCACATTACACTAATAAATCATATAAATAAACTATATAAATAAAAGAAACTATACTATATAAATAAAATATATAAAAAAAATTCCCATGTCTAAAATTCCCGTGACAGTACTGTATCACATGATTATTAACACAAATGAAAATGTTTTTAAGAACACAAGTTTTCTTTCTTATACTATATATATTATATATTAATGTTATTATTTTTTCAACAACTTATCAATTCACTTAAAATAATTACTATACTGCTTTGTTATTTTTATAATAAAATGATAATCTTTATAAGAAATATGTGTTCCAAAATCAAAATAAAGACTTCCAACACTATTGTTATTTCATTGACATAAGTTAAAATTTAAGTTATAAAAATTTTAATGATTAATATACTTTTAATTAATAAAAAAGCATTATTTTTATTTTTAATTTATCAATTAATTTACAAGCAAACGGAAACATATTTGAAACACAACAATTGACAGGAAACAACTGATTAAAAGTTTTGTTGGTAAGAATTTCATGCTGAAACTGGCGGTTATTCTTCTGTTAATAGAAAATGCACTTCATTTCATTAACAATTAAGAATACAACAATTATACCGCTCTCCAATAATCATTTTATTGGAATAGCCAGGCAACGGCGGAGTTCGATTTTCTTACAAAACATTCCCTATTTAGGGTTAATTCTTTGGAAAGAATAAACACTTGTATATTAAAATTTTTTCACTTTAGATAAGCATGCGACAATTTTTATTGTAAATAAATTTAAGTACAACATTCTGAATAGAAATTTAAACAAATCATTACGTGATCTGATATGTTTATGTGGCTTCTTAAAAAGTATATCAAATATATAATCATAATTGTAAATTAAACAAATTACAAATTGCCAAATCATTGATAAAAGTTAAAGATCAGGTGGCTATGCCCACTCCTAACTTAGCTCTAAACTTGTGTATATATGTGGCTTTGTTAAAAGCCATCATGACAATGTAACTTCCCAGCCAAAACCAATAAGCCCCAAAATTTAGTATGTATAAATCAACTAATTCTCCTGATTTTTTTTTTTATGTACATTAGATTCAAAATTTTAAATGTTCTCATTGAAAATTTTAATTAATAACTTATAAATAAATTTTACAAAATCATCTCGTGAATATCTAATATAAACAGCTAAAAGTGGGAATTTTTTGACATCTGAAACCCAATTTTCTATAATAATAAGGAAATAAATCATCACTATAATTAATTCCATATTCCCTTAATTGCATTTTTATATCTATCATCACTCAAATTATATAAATAAACTCCAACATAATAATAATTTTTAGGATCTTTTAATGAAAATGGATTTTCCCAAGGGAGCTGTACTGCTGGTATACACCAATAATCACACAAATCCAGATAATTTAGAGATTGATTATTAGATAGAAAAAACCAAGTATTTACAGCAATTGGAACTACAGGCCTATATGAAACCATCTCTTTAAGAAGAATGACCATCATCTATACACTTTAAATTCAATATATTCAATATACTTATACATTAAATTCAATATTTCAATATTTTACATTCAATTATACTTAGTATACTTTAAATTCAATATTTCATCAACTGAAGATTTATATTCTTGTACATTAGTATCAAGAAATTGGTGCAGAATATCAATACCACTCTTATATGCTTATCTGTTTCAATATTTTTGTCATTTAATGCATTCACTTTTCATCAAAACTTTCAGATTTATTATTATCACCATATTTTAAATTGATTCATACATTATTAAGTTGTATTCATAAATTTGAAGTTGAACAGATTATTTAATATTTTACTTTAAATTCAATATCTTACTTTATTTCATAAATTCTTTATTCTTTAAACAATTTCTTTATTTATTCTAATTGTTTATCATATAGAAATTAAGGGAGAAAAACAATTTTATTCCCAAGACAAGCATATGATCATGGTTAAAAGATTAATATCATATCTAGCTTCAATTTAGATATTATGACTTTTATTCTCTGAGTACAATACTCCAACAAATCAATATTAAATCAATAATAATAACAATTTATTATCCATTAGAAACAAAATAATTTATGATACACAATCATTTATCATGGTTGACAATCATATGAAAACATTGGTAATAGATTCAAACTGCAAAGAAATTAAAAACATATATAATCAATAGTATGAAAATGGATATTTGGGATACAAATTCTCACATTATTAACTTTTAAAATAGAGTTCATTTCACCAGAAAATTTGAATTATCAAACTAGAAAACTTAATAGAATTGATGAAATTATAAGGCACCTACCATAACATATATGCCCATACTATAAAATAGAAAGCCTGCTATGCTTTGAAAATTGGCAATATGAATCTTCCCCATAAAAAATTCACAATGTGGCAAATACTAAATGTATTACAAAATCTGATTTGATTTAAATTTAATTATACATAAAACACGTAAAATAATAATTTTTACATAATTTTGTAAAAATCTAATGATAATATAATAAAAAAGATAACTTTTTATAGTGCATTTTAAATATGGACATTACAAAAGTTNAGAAATTTAAACAAATCATTACGTGATCTGATATGTTTATGTGGCTTCTTAAAAAGTATATCAAATATATAATCATAATTGTAAATTAAACAAATTACAAATTGCCAAATCATTGATAAAAGTTAAAGATCAGGTGGCTATGCCCACTCCTAACTTAGCTCTAAACTTGTGTATATATGTGGCTTTGTTAAAAGCCATCATGACAATGTAACTTCCCAGCCAAAACCAATAAGCCCCAAAATTTAGTATGTATAAATCAACTAATTCTCCTGATTTTTTTTTTTATGTACATTAGATTCAAAATTTTAAATGTTCTCATTGAAAATTTTAATTAATAACTTATAAATAAATTTTACAAAATCATCTCGTGAATATCTAATATAAACAGCTAAAAGTGGGAATTTTTTGACATCTGAAACCCAATTTTCTATAATAATAAGGAAATAAATCATCACTATAATTAATTCCATATTCCCTTAATTGCATTTTTATATCTATCATCACTCAAATTATATAAATAAACTCCAACATAATAATAATTTTTAGGATCTTTTAATGAAAATGGATTTTCCCAAGGGAGCTGTACTGCTGGTATACACCAATAATCACACAAATCCAGATAATTTAGAGATTGATTATTAGATAGAAAAAACCAAGTATTTACAGCAATTGGAACTACAGGCCTATATGAAACCATCTCTTTAAGAAGAATGACCATCATCTATACACTTTAAATTCAATATATTCAATATACTTATACATTAAATTCAATATTTCAATATTTTACATTCAATTATACTTAGTATACTTTAAATTCAATATTTCATCAACTGAAGATTTATATTCTTGTACATTAGTATCAAGAAATTGGTGCAGAATATCAATACCACTCTTATATGCTTATCTGTTTCAATATTTTTGTCATTTAATGCATTCACTTTTCATCAAAACTTTCAGATTTATTATTATCACCATATTTTAAATTGATTCATACATTATTAAGTTGTATTCATAAATTTGAAGTTGAACAGATTATTTAATATTTTACTTTAAATTCAATATCTTACTTTATTTCATAAATTCTTTATTCTTTAAACAATTTCTTTATTTATTCTAATTGTTTATCATATAGAAATTAAGGGAGAAAAACAATTTTATTCCCAAGACAAGCATATGATCATGGTTAAAAGATTAATATCATATCTAGCTTCAATTTAGATATTATGACTTTTATTCTCTGAGTACAATACTCCAACAAATCAATATTAAATCAATAATAATAACAATTTATTATCCATTAGAAACAAAATAATTTATGATACACAATCATTTATCATGGTTGACAATCATATGAAAACATTGGTAATAGATTCAAACTGCAAAGAAATTAAAAACATATATAATCAATAGTATGAAAATGGATATTTGGGATACAAATTCTCACATTATTAACTTTTAAAATAGAGTTCATTTCACCAGAAAATTTGAATTATCAAACTAGAAAACTTAATAGAATTGATGAAATTATAAGGCACCTACCATAACATATATGCCCATACTATAAAATAGAAAGCCTGCTATGCTTTGAAAATTGGCAATATGAATCTTCCCCATAAAAAATTCACAATGTGGCAAATACTAAATGTATTACAAAATCTGATTTGATTTAAATTTAATTATACATAAAACACGTAAAATAATAATTTTTACATAATTTTGTAAAAATCTAATGATAATATAATAAAAAAGATAACTTTTTATAGTGCATTTTAAATATGGACATTACAAAAGTTTGTACTGCCTGTGGACAAATAAAACTAATACGTGAATTTATAGATTTTGAGGCTAAAAATACTACAAAACTAGAAATATGCGTTTATTATCAGGGACTTTATCCCCATAATAATAATAAATTACATTATTTTATTATTATTACTAAATCTTACTGCAGGCGATTTTACAGGTCACATAATTATGGCCAAAATATAATTCTGGCCAAAGTTTACATACCATAATAAAGTGTTATTGACTATTTTAGTTATTAAATAGGCCACTTTTTTAATTTTAATAATAAATAAATTGAGCAATTTTTATTAAAAATAATAAAATTTTTTATTAATGAATTACTGTAAGGAAGGCATTCAAATGCCTTCCTTTGAAAATTTTCTCATGATTGCTATCCAATAAATTTCGTGATCATGACCTTTTTTTTATTAATCTAGAATAATGCGTTTATTAGCGGGGGACTTTGTCCCCTGTAGTAGTGCTTCAATTCATAGCGATTTTATCTATTATTATACCGATCTATTGTTATTATTAAAAAAAAAATTTAGAAAAAATTTCTGAAAGATTTTGTTATATCTATAATGATCTATGGCATTATTAAAAAAAATCGGAAATTTTATTTATACAATACCCGTCTTATGTATGTATTATACCTATTATTAGAAAAAAAAAATTAAAAAAAAATTTCCGTAAGATAAATAACAATCTAATGACATTATTAAAAAAAATAAATCAGAAAATTTTATTTATACAATATCTGCCTTATGCATTATTATACCGATCTATTGTTATTATTAGAAAAAAGTTTAGAAAAAATGTTTGAAAGATTTTATGTCTATATTAAATGATCTATTGACAACATTATTAGAAAATTTTATTTATTATACAATATCATTAGAAAAAAAAAATCAGAAATTTTTATTTACACAATACCATCTTACGTATACAGTCGTCCTCCCATATAGTCACCCCCTTATAAGCACATTTACATTAATCCCAAGTTACTAATAAACTTATTAAAAAAAACCTGCCCTTTAATCACGTCATATATAATTTTTATAGTCACACCATTTTTTTTTGGTCCCGAAGGGTGTGATTATATGGGAGGATGACTGTATACCTATTATTAGAAAAAAAAATTTTAAAAAAAAATTCTGAAAGATTTTTTTATTGTTTTAAAGAAATACATTAATGCTTCTTATTTTTCTAGGAACATCGTGCTCCTTGGATTTCGTGGAACATGATACTGGAGATAAGCGGGAAGTGTAAAATTTTTTAAAGAAATGATATTAATTTCATTCCTTTCATTTCTTTTTTAAATAAAGATTTTTAATAATGGATAAATTTAATATATATGATTTTATTAATAATAAAGCATAAAAAAATAAAAATTTAAACAAGTTAAAAAGTTATAATATATACTTGTTTTTTGCTAAAAACAGTCAAACAAAATATCAATAAATAAAAAATTATTCAATTTTTCCTTGTTCAAGCCATGATTTTAGAGACAAACATGCTCGTGCTGTTTCAGGTCCATTCTATTACATGGTTGGTTGATTTGTTTTCTTGTGTTTGAAAAAAAATTTTCACATGGAACTGATGTTGACATTATTGTTAAGTAACCCGTGCTATTTTTGATAGTATTGGATATTCCACTGCATGATTTTTCCACCAAAGGTACTATTTCATCATCTGAAGGATTCGAATCAAATAAATATCCAATTCATTTGTAACAGGTTATGGAGTTTTATTTGATTCTGTTGTTAACAAAGTACGAAAAAGAGATCGTGTTTCAGTTGCTGATAAATTTACTAGTTGGTATCATGAGGTAAAGTAATATTGGATTCTTCATAATTGGACATTATTCTTCAAATTGGTTGTAAAATCTCATATCGATTCATAATACCATAAGATAATTTTTTATATTGTAGATCAAAGAAAGCTGGAACATGTAAGGCTTCATTAAGTTCATCAAAATAATTTATAGAAACACGAATCATTTCATTTATCTGCTCTTGTAGAATATAGTTTTCACCCTAAGACTTAGTTATATGATTTTTTAAACCTGTAAAAAGCAATTAATAGTAGGATAATTAGATGCTGATATCACCTTCGTTATTGATGCAAAAAGAGCCAATAAATTTGCCAACTCAGTAAGTAACTCCCACTCTTCGTCAGTTGGCCAGTTATAAAGCTCTAAATGGTCTGAATTGGTCCGGGTTAATCGGACCAGACCAGTTATTTTAATTTGGTCCGGTCTGGTCCCTTAATATAGATAAAAATTAGCTTATTTGTAAGTCTTTAATTATAAAAATTCTTGGGAATTCTTCTTAATAGTAGATATTTCTTTTTAAAATTTAATTTTTGAAGATTGGTAAAGATGGTAATGCATAATTTTAGAATATACTATGCTATTGTTTAAATAAGAATAAAAAAAATAAAGTAAATTATTTACTGATTTTATAATAAATTTCGTGATATTATACTGTAAATTTAGTTTACTGCCTTCATAATTGAATCTATCGTGTTGCTTTGCATTTTTTTTTGTATTTTTTGATTGTACTGTACATATTATTTTGTAATAGAGTATCACTCTTATCACTTTTGTTAACTATGCTGCAATTCCTTTTATTAAGATCCTTAAGACTTAAGATTTTAATGATTGGATATAAGTTCATACGGTGATGTAGGTGATGTAGTTGGTTTTTCTAGACTAGACCTAGAAGTTCCTCTAATAATCATTCGAAACGGACTTGCTGATAAATTACTTTTATTTTTTAAGTTCAGATCTTCAGGATGCTTAGATGTTTTGAACAGTTCTTTATGTAAATATAAGGTAAATTCAACCGCGAAGATTGTTACTCAATAGTAGATTAGCGAACAATATAAACTGTAATTAGAATATTTGAATAGGTATTATATACAGTACGTATAGTAAAATTTTCGGCTAATCTAGAATTGTTATTTTTAATTTTATTTTCAGTTTGGAAAACTTGAAATTATTACTTTAAAAACCATTTCTTTATTTTTTCTTTTGCGCTTTTTGTAAATTAATTGATTTAATAAAATTAGAATTGAGAGTTTAAAAATAAATCGATCCATTTTTTTAAAAACTTGTTGGTGAAATAAGTAATAAAATTGATAAAATCAATTAATCAAATAAAATTGATTGCGAGTTTTGAATTTTAGAAATTTTTTTTATTGTACTCGTCGTCAACAATTATAAACGATCGCCGGATTACGGTTCGGGAAAATATTTTATAATCACATGATTTACAAATTACGAGTATAATCATACAAAGTTTCATTTTAAATCAATTAGTGTTGGAGAAATGTCGTGAACAATTCGACAAATATGAACGAGAAGCAATATCTTAATAAGCTGTTTACAAATTACTTTTGAAATTGAACTTGAATAAGCAGTAGTGACTAAAAGATAAATTATAAATTAATTTATTAAACAACACATTTCCAACCTTCTTTGTTTTATCTTTTTAAATGGGTTTTTTTTTCACACTCGATTCCTTCATTTTCATTCCATATTTTTATCGTTTTCATACATTACCTTCAATTTTTATTTTCTTTTTAACTTCCCGTTTACTTTCTTCAACCTCGATAAATTCACTAAACTCCCTTTTACTTTAATTTCTTTTTCCTCAGTCTTAATATCTTCAACTCACTCTCTACAAATTTACTTTAAACTTTAATTTCTTTCGCCTCAGTCTTAATAACTTCAAATTCCCCCTCTTTTCCTGTCCTTAATGGAGGTATCATGCATCAAGAAGAATATTTCTTGTACGTAGCCAACATACTTGAATAATGTTAAACAGCTACTGATGATAAAGTTTGCTACGCCACATAACCTGATGCGAACATTGATGTCAGGACACATCTATATAACTAAAAAAATACATGAAAAAATCGTAACATTTAGACTAGCATGTATAAATAGTTTTGAATTGTGTAATAGTATATTTTCTGCTTGCGCCTAATCTATTCCATGTTAGCGTAAGTTTTTTTTTGCTTCTTATTTTCTAGATTATTTAGGTTAATATCGGTAAGTTCAAGGTATGAATTCCGAATTGCATATCATCAATATTGTTACTGATTTTTATTAAATATTACTTCGTGAAACTAATTAAAATATATAAGTTCTTAATTAATTATTTATATAATACAGTAAAGGTAAAGTAGATCATTGGCGATAGTATATTTCTGAAGTGGTGATCATCCTGCATGACCTTCCTTATTTATTCACTTTTTCGCTTAATTTGTAGTTTGTCCTCCGATCTTCATGCAGATTTTCATCTTTTTGGGAATGCACCATGTGAACTTCGTAGTTGAATCTTATACTATAGCTATATAGCTATTAGCTATTGCTATTGCTATTGCTATTGCTATAGCTATTGCTATTGCTATTGCTATAGCTATAGCTATTGCTATTGCTATAGCTATAGCTATTGCTATAGACGCAATATCGCAATATTGCTTCTTTGATATCATAGAATAAAATTGAAAATTATTCACTTTTGTGCCACTTTCATTGTACGTTAACTTAATGGCATCAATTAGGACCCCGAAATATATATATAGAGGTCAGAGGACACAAAAATTTTTTACTAATAGCTGTACGCAAGGGTTTTTAATAAGGTCAGTACGCAAATTTGACACTTAACCTCAAATAGTTAGAAAAAATAAGCAAACCAAGCTTATGACTTAATCATCATGTGATTTGCCGTTGTTTATTATAAATTTTAAATGTAAAACACTATCGTATTGTTTCAATTACATCTTTTCGACCAAAATAACTATAATAATACTGTTTTTCGTTTCCCAGTAGCTTCAATACATTTTCTTCAACTAACACACTAGTTGGTCCAATATGATAAATGATATTAGAAGCAAGATGATGAGCTAAAATATTGCACCCTTCGCTAGTTAAATCACTAAATACATGATGGATTGGAATATAAACATGTAAAGAAATATAAGATATATCATCTAAATTTGTTATTGCTTCTTCAGAATAGCAATGATTGCCATAAGCTTCGAAATAAACTGCAATAACTCTCCCTACACACATTTGATTACCATATATAACGAAAACATAATCTCCTTTAATTAACGGAAAATCCTTTGAGATATTCGCAGTTTCAATATTTGGAACTTTTGGAAATAATAAATTTATATTAGTACTTGACTGCAATTAAAAGATACATAACAAGAAATTATACTCACTTTGAATAAGAGATTGCTGTATCTTCTTTTTAGGTAAAGTTTGCTTTTTTTTTAATTTTGCCAATTCTTCAGCATGAAATTGAGCTAAGGTAATAGACATTTTTTTACGGGTTTCCTTCCATCGTTTTTCACGTTGAGTAACAAATCGTTGCTCTGGATTTTCATTTTTAGTAAAGTAAGCAACAAAATGACTAGCTTTATTCGGCTGTATAGTGGCAATGGCACTGGTTTTTGTAGAAACTGTTTTAAATTTTCGTTCAAGTGGCTTTGAAGTATATGCTTCATGTCTTTGCCGTTGTTGTAATAGAATTTCAAAATTTAAGTTATCTTCTATTTCATATTGAAATCCGGAGTTAACTATATTTGAGAAATTGTTTGATTAATAAAGAATAAATAATAAATTTTAAAGTATAATAAAATTATCACTTACTGCTGTCTCCATTATATAAAACAGAGAGATCTTTTTGAATTTGATCAATTATATTTAGTTGTGAAGACTCTTTTTGGAATAAATTTGATAAATCATCATCATTATTATCACATTCTTCTGTTGAAATACGCTTCATTTCATGAGATGCTTCTGTTAATGCTGTGGTTAGGTCAATTTCAGCGTTTTCAACTTGTTCTTTATCGTTTTCATCATGAAGTTTTCTGCATGACATGGAAACTTCTTTTTCATGAATATTGATTAAAACTTGTAAATTTGGTTCAAGAGCGATATCTGCAGGTTGAATCATTCCAAGAAATTCGGCAAGTTCACAAGCTAAGTAGCGTGAATGCTTTATTGTTTGTGAAATTTGTTCATCTGTTGGCCAAAGTCTCAATATTTCTAATGTTGATTCTTCTAAATTACCAGTATTATAGTCAAAATGATAACCTGTAATAAAATTAATAAAAATTTATTGTTAAAAAAAAAAAAATAAATAAATAAAAAAAAAATTTGTAATTAAATAATATTACCTTGACGAACAGTTTTTTCTTGATTAAAAGATAATTTTTTTGATCTTAAAGCTCTGGAATACTGTGATATTTTAGGAAGTATTTGGATTAAATCTGCAAAATCAAAATCTGGATTTAATTGGCGCGCAATACCAAAAAAGTGTTCCACAGGCTCAGATCCATGAAACCAAGGTAAAAATGGTACTTGTTGATAATATTCACGATGAGCCTTAATTAACAAAATAAGTGATTCACAAAGAGAAATGAAAATAGCAAATGTTTGGTTTGCTAAAAAGTTTTGTCATATTGAAATAAATTCAGGATATTTTTGAGAAAGAGTTTCTATATGGATACGCCATAATTGAATGAAAAAATAACCAGTCATAACCATTCTAATTCGTTCAAGTGGTGCAATATTACGGTTTAGATAACTATCAATGATTTCTCCTTTTATAAATAAAAAATAAATGTTAAAATTAAAATTAATTTTTAAAATATTTATATAGTATACAATTAATATTACCAATTACAAAAATATAAATAGCAAATCCTTCCATTCCAATTTTAACTTTATAATCAGCTGTTAAACATTGTCGAAAATTTGAAGAACAAAAGGTTCGATAAGCAGCTGCATCATCTTGACGGTCCAGATTAATAACATCATTCTTATACATAATAGAATCATATTGATTAATAAGTTGTAAAAAATGATCAAATCGGGCTGAAGAGTTGCCAAATGTTAATAATCGTGCTCCTGACATTATGGCATTTCTTGCTGTCTTTTTTGCGTGTTTTGGATCCTGAATCCTTACTACAGGACCAACATTATTAAAAATTGGACAAGAAAAGTTAATATTAAATTGAGGTTCTTTAATTATTAACTTTTCATTTGTTTGAATGTTTAAAATTAACTGTTGTGCTTGAAATTCTGTTATTGCACCATCAGATCCTAAAGAGAGTATACAAAGACCAAGTTGTGGTGCAATTCCTAAAACTAATTGTTTATGTAATTGCGATATTGCATNGGAACACGGAACCTTATTTAGGACTCGACTTGAAAGGTAAATATCAAAAAATTTTTAAATTCACTTTTTAGAAATTTTATTAACGTTTATTTTTTATATTTTATAGGGAACGGACTCTTGAAGTCTTGGAAACGATTTCGTAAGTTGGGGACAAAGGTTTTTTTTAATACTTAAGAAACGTTTCTAACGTTTCGTTTTTCCTTTGTTTTTGTAGGGAACGGCCTTGAAGACCTGAAACTTACCTGAGTAAGTTGTAATGGTGGCGTTCTATTCGGAATTGGCTTAAGAAACATTGTTAGCGTTTTGTTTTTCCTTTGTTTTTGTAGGGAACGGCCTTGAAGACCTGAAACTTTCCTGGGTAAGTTTTAAGAGTGGCGTTCTATTCAAAATTGGCTTAAGGAACATCATTGCTAACGTTTCCTTTTTCCTTTGTTTTTGTAGGGAACGGTGGAACTTACCTGGGTAAGTTGTAAGGTTACGTTCTATTCGGAATTAAATTAACTTAAGAAACGTTACTAACGTTTCCGTTTTATCTTTCGTAGATTTCTGTTCCTGTTTAGATTTGGATAATTCAGATGAATATTCTATTATAATGGCCCAATGATTCCATAGTCTAACCAATCAACACAAAGAGAAGTGGAAATGGTTCTAGACGACAAAAACAACAATTTAGAGGACAAAGACACGAAAAAGAAAGATGAGAACAATGATTTAGAAGTAGATAGCGAATTATAATGATGATTGATAATAACGTAAATTCGAAACTTTTTTTATCTTTTTTCTTGAAAATAGATTAACATTTCTTTATTTTTTGTTTTGTAGATTTCTTCGATCTCATTTTGCTATCTTGGATTCTTGGTAAATTTATTTTTTAATTTCCTTTTTATTAATCTTGAAAAACTTCTAACAGTTCGTTTTTTCTTTCTATAGGTCCTTCGCTTTGATTTGCATGGGTTGATAAATGTCGTCTTCAAACAACATTTTCTCTACTTATCGTAGATCGCCTTTTATTTTCAAATATAATAGGTTCATTGGATGAATAATTTTAAAACAGCTTTGAATTTTTTTTCTTTAATTTTTTTTAAAGTTTTTTTTCGGTTTCTTTTTATTCAAACTTTTCGGATTAGTACGTTTTGAAACTTTCGTTTTGAATAAAATTTATTATTCTTTTTTTTCTAAGAGACATTAAAGCATGATACTTATGAAATTACTAAAAAATAAGTGTTCTAATTTAAAAAAATGATTTATTAATTATTTATTTGTAAATAAAAAAACTTTTTTATTGAAAGCACGTGACACCGATAAACTTATTTTTTCGTTTATCATTAACAATTGATTAATTGAAATATTAATATTTTTAGAAAAAATAAAAATAAAATCCAAAAAGAAATTTGATAATAAATTGTCACTGATTTCGTTAATATAATCACTAATTCTTTTTAAGTAAAACAATAAAAAATAAATGTAATGATTTTACCATAAAATAAAAATTTTTAAAATTCATATTATAATAATTGCCAAAATTCGTACATTTCGCACAAAAATCAATGAATTCTCAGCCTTCGGCATTCTTGATTTTTCGGCATTTTTCGGCATTTTTCGACATTTTCAGCATTCTGCCCATTTTAAGCATTTAAGATAGTTGATCACAAAGCCTTTGACCACCACAGCCATGACCAATTCCGATCAGTTAGCATTTTAGGCATTTAAGATAGTCGATCACAAAGCCTTTGAGGCTTTGATCGACCAATATCAGCCACGGTCATAACCGAACACGACCAGTTAATATAGTATAAAAAATGATGCATATTCTGAACTTTTTTTTTCTTTAAAAAAAAATAAGCACAGCCATGACAAATCCCGATCAGTTAACATTTTAGGCATTTAAGATAGTTAATTACAAAGCCTTTGGCCAACCAATATCAGCCAGACAGCCACAATCATAATCAATCCCGATCAGTTAACATTTTAGGCATTTAAGATAGTTAATTACAAAGCCTTTGGCCAACCAATATCAGCCAGACAGCCACAATCATAATCAATCCCGATCAGTTAACATTTTAGGCATTTAAGATAGTTGATCACAAAGCCTTTGACCGACCAATATCAGCCATGGTCATGACCGATCACGACCAGTTAACATAGTATAAAATGAAGCATATTCTGACCTTTTTTTTTTTCTTTAAAAAAAATTAGAAATTTAATAATTTTTTTTTAACTTTACATTTAATTACTATGTCTTTCAATACATATCAACATTATACTTTTGATACAGATCCTCTTACTGATCGTCAAAGCGATACTGAAATTATGTTAAGACAATTACAAAATCAATTACAGTCTCACCAATCTTGGCAACATGAAAATTCAATGCCTATTATTTTAAATTATTCACCCATTGACCCTTGGATACCAAGCACAAAATTCTTAAACCTGCTATCAAATTTCAATTTATCTATTTTAAATCAATTTGTTTGTGCTGTATGTGCATTTTGTGGTCGTCTAATGTATCCTGAGAAATGTGAATGGTTACCTTATAATGATAATTTTTCTTACACTCTTTTGCAAGCATATCCAGAAACTGAACCTAAATCATTATTAACTTTTCACATTAAACCTCCACAAAGCATTGCTGTATGCTTATCATGTAAAAAACCTAGTACTAGATATGCATTTCCATTCCTTTATCCCATTCCAAATGAAATTCAAGCCATACCTATAGGAAAACGAATGTATTTATCTCCCGTATTTATACATTGTTCTTTAGGTAGAACTTCTGGTCAAAGTGCCATATATACAGAATACAGGACATTAACTGGATCAATGAACCTTTCAAAAAATATGAGTGCTTTAACATTATATTCTGGAATGCTTGGTGCTTACCTTGATAATAATTCATCAAGAAATAATAATTCTTGGCTTGATGATACTTTAATTGAAGCAGCCAATTGGTTAAAACAACATAACCCCTTTTTAAAAAATTATTCACATCTTTTAGATTTACCTGGTTCACAAACAGCTAATCCATTTCCTAGTGCCTTTCATTTACCTGATGATAATTCTGCACCACCATATTTGCCAAATGATATTGTAGTTCCTAATGCTAATTTTAATGTTGAAATTCATAATGAAGATTACCATTATTCTCATTTAATGGCAGGATTTATCAGAACACCAGATAGTACTTTATTACCTTTAGCTATAAATGATCCAGATTTAGAAGCATTATTATTTCCTGATTTATTCCCAAATGGAAAAGGACATTATAATGATAATACTTCTAATTCAAATCTTACTCGTGATGAAACATATTCCAAATATATCAAGCAAAGAGTCCTAAATATTGATTCACGATTTAGACTTCATCCTAAATGGTTAGCATGGTCATATTTACAATTAGAAAAAATTCGTAATCACCAAAATAATCAACGTATCTAGAGGCAAAATAAGGCTGATGAAGTTTATCGTCCACCAACTGCAGCAGAAATTATAAAAACATCAAGTTATTCTAATAGACTTATAATAGATGAATCTATAACAACTACTTTACCTACTTTTATTCGTACTGGTGATACATATTTTCATGAAAAAGAACTTCATGTAAATACAATGATTTCAACATTTGGATTACCATCACTATTTATTACTCTTACAATGGCTGAAAGCCACTGGACACATTTGCACAAAATTTTAAAAGCAACAGATAATCATGATACTATTCCAACAAATAGACCATTACATACTACATTGCATTTTATACACCGTTTACAGCAACTTAAAAAACATATTTGGAAAAATCCTGAACATTCAGAATGGGGTAATTTAACTAACTTTTTTGAAAGAGTAGAATTTCAAAATCGTGGTGCAGCACATACTCATGGTGTATATTGGGTTTCTAAATCTATTGAACAAATGATTGCTGAAAATCTTATAAGATCTGATTTACCTGATCCAGATATTGAACCTGATTTATATGAAAAAGTAAAAGCAAATCAAGTTCATACATGTAGTGCAAAATGTGGAGGTCCAGCTACTTTAGGTCATACTTGTAAAAAAGGATTTCCTCGTCCTTTTTCTCCAGTTACATATTTTGATATTGATACTCAACGTTATATTTACAGATGTATTAAAGCTGAAGATCAATGGATAGTACCTTATCATCCACAAACTTTAATGATTTGGAATGCTCATATGAATATACAATATGTTAGTTCTAGAAAATTAGCCTTTTATTTAACAAAATATATAGCAAAATCAGAACCATCCCATGTTTTCA